CGTCAGCATCAGCAGCATCATCATCAGCAGCATGGTCATCAGCATCATCAGCATCATCAGCAGCAGAAGCAGCAGCATTATCAGAAGCATCATCACCATCAGCATCTTCATTATCAGCAGCAGCATCATCAGCAGCATCCTCATGAGCATCGTCGTCGTCATCATCATCAGCAGCAGAAGCAGCAGAATCGTAATCAGCATCAGCATCATCATCATCAGCATCATTATCAACAGCATGGTCAGCATCAGCATGATCAGCATCAGCATCATAATCAGCATCCTCATCAGCAGCAGCATCATCAGCATCATCATCACCACCACCACCATCATCATCAGCAGCACACTCGTCCTCCTCCTCATGCTCATGATCATCATCATCCTCATCATCATCCTCATCATGATCATCATCATCATCATCATCAGCAGCATCATCATCATGGGCAGCATCAGCATCAGCATCCGCATCAGTATCAGCATCATCAGCATCAACATCATCGTCATCAGCATCGTCATCATCAGCAGCAGAAGCAGCAGCATCACCAGCATCATCATTTGCATCATCATCCTCATCATCAGCATCATCAGCATCAGCATCATCATCAGCCTCATTAGGATCACCATCCTCATCCTCATCCACCCCCTCCTCCTCGTTTTCATCCTCATCATCATCATCCTCCTCCTCTTCCTCCTCCTCCTCCCCGTCTTCTCCTCCTCATCCTCATCTTCCTCCTCCTCCTCCTCCACCTTCCCCTCGTTCTCCTCCTCCTCCTCCTCTTCCTCCTCCTCCTCCTCCTCACCCTCCTCTGCATCCTCGTCCTCCTCATCCTCTATGTCCTCTACGTCCCAAGGAAGCGAGCTCCACGGGGCAAAACTCGCCCACCTGCGATGCAAGAACAAATCCAGCGGCCAGGCTAGGACCAGAAGCCTGGGGAACAAAACCCTGGCCGCCGCGACCCAAGCCACTCAGCCTTTCCCAGCAGGGGAGCAGAAGGAAGAGCACGCACGTCGGCCTCCAGAGCCTCCGGCCAGTCATCCGCACACACATCGTAATCACCACCATCATGGTAGTCATCATGGTCCTCGTCGTCATCGTCCGCATCATCGTCATCCGTGTCAGCGCGATCACCGTCCTCGTCATCGTCGTCATCGTCATCATCATGAACGTCACCACAATCACCATCATCCTCACCATCACCACAATCATTACCACCACCATAACCACCACCACCACCACCATCATCATCATCAGCAGCAGCATCGTCGTCATCATCGTCATCATTATCATCACCACCACCACCGTCATCATCATAATCAGCATCATCCGCATCATCATCAGCATCATCATCACCACCACCATTATCATCATCATCATCAGCAGCATCATCATTACCATCCTACCCCTACTCATCCATCATCCTCCGCCTCCTCCTCCTCCTCCTCCAGATGATCCTTCTGCTCCTCCTCCTGCTGGTCGTCCTTCTGCTCCTCCTCTGTCCTCGTGCTCTCCCCCTCCCCCTCCCCATCCCCGATTTCACTCCCGTTCCTTATCCTCGTTCTCGATATCTTGAGCCTCCTGATCTTCCTTATCATCCCCCACCCTCGTCATCCGTATCCTCCTGCCCATCCTCGTCGTCGCCATCATCACCACCACGTATATCGTCATCCCCATAACATAGCACTCCGCAACTGCGGATAAGAGTGAGGGGGTGGTGGAGGTCGTCGGCAATCTGCGAAGCCCTGAAGAAGCCGGCCACCGATTTAGAATTCTCTACCGCGATGTTTAGTCAAAGCAACGTGGGTAGGTCGCGGATGGGTCGCGGGTGGGTCGCAGGGTGTATCGCGGAGTGGGTCGCAGGGTGGTCACGGGGTGTGTCGCGGGTGGGTCGCGGGCGGGTCGCGGGCGAAGACGTCGACAACAACGCAACAAAACAACAACGCAACGCAACAACGCCACAACGATCCGCCCCGCGGAACCCCACTTCAGCCACGCAACCAGGGACAGAGAGTGAACGTGGGGTCCCCTCACCCTGATCGTTCCTATCAGCATCACCATCATCATCCTCATCCTCATCCTCATCCTCATCCTCATCATCATCATCATCATCATCATCATCCTCATCATCATCATCGGCATCATCGCCGTCATCATCAGCAGCATCATCGTCGTCATCATCAGAATCAGAATCAACTAAATCGTAATCATCATCGTCGTCATCATCATCTGCAGCAGTGGCAACATCATCAGCACGCTCATCATCCTCATGATCAACACCACGATCATCATCAGTATCATCAGCACATCAGCATCAGCATCATCAACAGCAGGATCATCATCATCATCATCAACAGCATCATCATCGTCATCAACAGCAACATTATCAGCATTATCAACATCATCTGAATCCTCATCCTCATCAGCATCATCACTATCAGCAGCAGCAGCATCAGAATCTGTATCAGCATCGACATCAGCATCGTCGTCATCATCATCATCATCAGCAACAACATCATCATTAGCATCATCAGTAGCACCATAGTGAACACCGTCATATCAGCATCCCAATGCTTATCATCGTCCTCATCATCATCACCGCCACCGTCATCATCATCATCATCACCATCATCATCATCATCATCATCATCATCATCATCGCCATAGTCGCAATCGTCGCCGTGACCACCACTATCACAATCAAAATCACCTTAATCAGCAACATCATCAGCAGCACCAACACCATCATCAGTATCAGCATCATCATCATCGTCATCATCAGCAGCAGCATCGTCGTCATCATCAGAATCAGAATCAACTAAACCGAAATCATCATCGTCGTCATCATCATCTGCAGCAGTGGCAACATCATCAGCACGCTCATCATCCTCATGATCAACACCACGATCATCATCAGCATCATCAGCACATCAGCATCAGCATCATCAACAGCAGGATCATCGTCATCATCAACAGCATCATCATTGTCATCAACTGCAACATTATCAACATTATCAACACCATCTGAATCCTCATCCTCATCAGCATCATCATCACTATCAGCAGCAGCAGCATCATCAGAATCAGTATCAGCATCGGCATCAGCATCGTCGTCATCATCATCAGCAGCATCATCATTAGCATCATCAGAAGCATGATCATGAACACCATCATATCAGCATCCCAATGATTATCATCATCCTCATCATCATCACCGCCACCGTCATCATCATCGTCATCATCATCATCAGCATCATCATCAGCATCATCATCATCATCGCCATAGTCGCAATCGTCGCCGTGACCACCACTATCACAATCAAAATCACCTTAATCAGCATCATCATCAGCAGCACCAACACCATCATCAGCATCAGCATCATCATCATCATCATCATCATCATCGTCATCATCATCATCTGCATCACCATCCTCATGTTCATCATCATCAACAGCATCAATGTCATCATCGTCGCCATCATCGTTGTCATCGTCACCGCCGTCTTCAACATCGCTTGACTCGTCGTCACCACCGCTATCGCCGAAACAGTATTATCATCGTACTCATGCTCATATCATCATCGTCATCATCAACAGCAGCATCATCATTCATCATTCATCATTCATCATCGTCGTCATCATCATCAGCAGCAGCAGCGTCAGCAGAGAAATTATCAGCAGTACCATCGCCATCAGCATCGTACCCATCCTAATGTTCATCTTCCTCCTTGATATCCCCATCCTCCTCGTTACACTGATGCGCCGCCTCCCTCTCCTCATCCAGGAATTCCTCGTCCTCATCATGCTTACCCCCGGGAAACACCTAAGCTCGCCGTCGCATGAACGAGTTGTTCGTGTGTATTGTGCGCGTGTGTGGTGCTTGTAGTATTCTGCATGGCTGATGACACAGTTCACGCGCGCTGCGCTTAACGCTGCCACGCGACGGCTGTCGTACGTCTTGTTGCCCTGCGTCGTAGGTCCATTGCTTTCCACCCCACCCATGCAGTGGCACGGCGGATTGACCTTGGACATATCCGTCTGTCCTTACAGGTTTCGCGACAGGTTATATGCTTGCTGGCAAGTTGTGCGATCCAAATGTGTTCACGCATTTCATTTCTGGTGCTGGATGTATTGGGCGCGGCTAGTGGCGCTTCTGGTTCGCTGCGGCTGGCGTTGCCAAGCGTCGTGGGCTCTGCCTCACCCATCATAGCGGCCGCTGTCGTTGGTCTAGAGGCTAACACCCTACCAACATGACTCGCAGGCCGCTGGGTTGGCCACACCACCAATCTGCCTAGCTGCATTGTTTCTTTGCGCTTCACTGTCTGACACCGCTATGGTTACTCAACGGCCGCAATTAGCCTCGGGCTGTCGCGCTTCGGTTTGTTGACTTGAATAGCTTCCTCGTCTTCTGGCCGCTGCAGATTCGTTTGGACTTACAGTTTCTCTAACACACCCATCGCTCGTATTTTGCAGTGTACGACGCTTGTACACTGCGCTACCGACAATGCTCGGTCGCAATTAGCACTCCCATCTGCTGTTCGCGCTTGAGGACCCTCTGCGCCGCTCACTTACAAGTATGTGTGCGTGTTTTTCCACGCGGGTTGACTAAGACGGTCGACGTCTTCGCAGCTCCACAGAGCGGCTTGCACGGGCCAACCCAAATGGAACAAGTGGATCCATGAAAAAACGCACCACAACCACACAAAACGACACGTCCCAGCGCCACCCAGCAATGCCAACTGAGGAAGATCAAAGTCGGGGGTTGCTAAAGGTGTCCCTGGCCCAAGGTGCCCCCAGCTTTTCGCTCCATATTGAACCGCCAGGTGCCCTCTGGGCCTCGGGAGGGGTGCTCTGGAGGCCGTGGAGGCCTCCTTGGAAATCCTCGGGGCATCTTGGGCCAGGGGCAGTTCTAGCACCATCCGAGAAAGACGGCCGCCCCTGCCCCCGACCCCGCCCCCCCCTGCCCCTGCATCCTCTTCACACTGGCCGGGCCGCCAAGGGGTGGGACCTCCACGCCGTGCTGCATGCAGGTGAGCACCACCACCGGGGCCGCAGCTGGACCGGCCACATCCTGGCTCAGGAGAGGCTCAGTCCAGACGGAGTAAGCCCAAACGGAGACCCAGCACTCCGTATGAACCTGGTCCGCATCGACTCAGCCTCCGATCGGGAGACGCCAAGTCCAGACGGAGGAAGCCCTGATGGAGACCGAGCACTCCGTTACTCTGTAAGATTGCAACGCCGCGCCGAATCGTGTACCCCCGCCACCGCTTGCCTGCTTCACTCCCAACCCCCAAACCCTGTCCTCCGAGGGCCTCCCGAAACCTCTGGAGACTTCTGGAGTCGGGTCCCCGCGGTCCGATCCCGGATCTTCCTGACGGTCCCCGGACCCGGAGACAATCCGCCAGAGGTTTGGACAGGAAGGGGAGGGCGCGCGCGCGCGGAGGAGGGGGGAGGAGGTCAGCGCTGCACAGGATGGAGTCCAAGAGCCCGCCAACCCGCCGCGGATCTGTTTGTTTGGGGGGGGGGGGGCACTGCCCGCGGCGGATCTGAGCAACCTGCGCCGCGCGCCCACAATTCTGGCCCTGCCCAGCATCGCGGGCGCTTTCTTGTCGCAGCGGCTTGGCCCCAACCGCGGACCAGGCAGCCGATGGGGCACTGCGGGGCCGAGTGGGGCACGGCCAGGAGCCGGACGAGGAAGCCGCGCGCGGCGGAGCACGCTCCGAGCATGCAGCTCGTACGCGCGAGTGCCAGACCACAGGCCTGCGAGGCAGAAAGAGGGCGCTGCAGGCGGCCATGGACGTGGGCTGTAAGCGCTGGGATCCCAGGGAGCCCCAACACCATGGTCTGCGTGTGCACGGAAGGCATCGCGGGCGCACTCCAGCAGCATCTGGCTGGCCATCTGCACAACGCTGCCAGCGGCGTCCAGAAGTTGAGGTGCAACGAGAAGGGGGACCCGCCTGCACTCGGGGGTACACTGCCAATGGATCGGCGATAAGCGCCAGGTAGCAAAACCGCACACTCCTGGGCGGGGTGGCCTGTCGGGCCCCACCTCGGCAGTCAATGGCTGAACAGGGGGTGTGAGGAGAAGGGAGGAGAGAGGAGGTCGAGAAGAGCCAGGGAAGAGAGAGGCAGGACGTGATGAGAGGGGAGGGAAGAGAGGGGCCCTCCTCGTCGCCGATGGCGTCCGCGTGCAGCTGCCAGGCGCGCTCCGGCGAGGACCAGTCCTCCTCCCTCACGACGATCACCACGGAGTGTCGCACCGTCACCAGCATGTCGCTCCTGGCAGGCAGGTCGTCGTCGTCGTCGGGGCTTCAGAGAGAAGCCTCGACCTCGGGGATCTCGCTGAACGTGCCCCTGGACCGTCAGAGATCGATCCAGAATGAAAAACTGGCCAGGCTCGAGAGGGCCAGGGCGAGGACGCACCCGCCGCCCAGCAGCCCGAGGAGCAGAAGCGCTGGGCCGAGAGGGTCGACAAGGCCCAGCACGTGCTGGTCTGCGTGCACTCCGAGGCGCCTGCGCGCTACACGTACTTCAAGGTCGGCGCTGGGACCGATTTCGATGAGTTTGGTGTCTGGGGTCGTCGCTGTCGCGGTCGTCGTCATCGCCGTCGTCGTCGTCGCCACGGAGCACTACGAAGTCGGAAGCCCGGGCCCTTTCCCCTCCGATCCCCCCACTTGCACGTTCCTGGTCAAGGCACGTTCGCCTGGGATGATGGGGATCAGCGAAGCGTTCACACTATCCCTCCAATCATCGCTTGACCCTGGTATTTCTCCTCCGTCGTCATCCTCATCAGCATCAAAATCAGCATCACCAAGAACATCATCACCACCACCACGATCGTCCTCGCCAAAACAATCATCATCAGAATCAGATGGAACCATCATCCTATGCATCATCGTAATCATCATTGTGATCATGACCATCATCATCATCATCATCATCATCATCATCATCATCATCATCATCATCATCATCATCATCATCATCATCATCATCATCATCATCATTATCATTATCAGCATCATCGTCGTCGTCACCATCATCAGCAGCAGCATCCGCATCGTCATCATCATCGTCATAATCAGCATCATCATTGCCGTCGTCGTCATCGCCGTCATTATATTCGTCGGTGTCGTCGTTATCGTCGTCATCATCATCATGGTCGTCATCATCCTGCAGATCATCATCATCATCATCAGCAGCAGCATCATCAGCAGCAGCATCACCAAAGCCACCATCACCACCATTCTCCTCATCGTCATGCATAATCATAATCATCGTTACCATCAACAACACCATCACCATCATCATCAACAATACCGTTACCATCACAATCGCCATCACCACCACCATCATCATCAGTATCATCATCAGCACCAGCATCAGCATCATCATCATCAGCAGCAGCATCACCATCATCATCATCACCACCACCATCATCATCGTCAGCATCAGCAGCAGCATCATCATCAACATTACCACCACCATCATCATCATCATCATCAGCATCATCATCTGAACCGCCACCACAACCACCACGACCACCATCATCAGCATCATCACCACCACCATCATCTTCGTCACCATCGTCATCATCAGCATCATCATCGTCGTCATCATCACCATCACCATCAGCATCATCATCATTATCATCGGCATCACCACACCCATCATCGTCGTCACCACCACCATCATCATCATCATCATCATCGTCGTCGTCGTCATCATCAGCATCAACACCATCATCATCACCACCACTACCACCATCATCATCACCACCATCCCTGCCACCACCACCACCGTTATCATCACCATCATCATCATCATCATCATCATCATCATCATCATCATCATCACCATCACCATCATCATCATCACCATCATCAGCACCGGAATGGAGTCGGCGCGCGCTCGCCAGAATTAGGTCATCCCTGGCTCGCAGAGCGCTCCTCATTCGAATCCCCGTCATCGCGGTCCCTGTGCTCGTGGCAGCAGCACCCGAGGGCGCGGTCGAGCTGTACGTATGGGTCGAGGAGGCTGGAGACCGAGTGCTCACTCACGGAGGCCGACGTGCGCACGCTTTTCTCCAAACCTGCCGCTGTCGTCACGGCGCACAATCGCGCTGGCGGCGACTCGGCCACTCGGCCCAGGTGTAGCACGCGGAGCGGGCGGATGCGGAAGCATCCCAGCGCGCCCTCGACGGCATGGCCCTTGCGGGCCTGCCCCGCGCGGGGCAAGGCTCCGCGCCGAGTTTGTGGAGCCGCTGCTGGCCCTGCTCGGAACGCTCCACTCGCCGTCCGTCGCTGCACTCATCCTCTCCGCGCCAGTCTGGGCCGCCAGCGACGCGTGCGGCACGCGCGCGCCAGCCACGCCACAGTCCCCGCGGCGGAGCGACGGCGGCGCGACGGCTCCGAGGGCGCTCGACGCGGCCGACGGCAGCGGCGCGGCGCTCGGTGAGCTGGCCCGCCCGAGCCAGCTCCGCGCCTGGCACGCTGTCGGCTCGGCGGTGCTACTCGCCCGCCCGTGCCCCGTGGCGGCGCCGGGCGCCGCTCGAAAAACTCCGATGACGGCCCGCGGGGGCCGTTGGCGCCTGGCGGCCTCGTGCGGACCACCGGCGGTCCGCCTCTAGGGTCTGGGACTCTCGTCGCCGCCGAGCCCGCGGGCTCGCGCGTTGAGTTGAGCTGTCTGGCCATTCATAGTTGGACAGCTTGCCTGTTGGGCTGGCGGCCCCGCGTGGCCGTCGGCACGGGCGTCCTTCGGGTCGTTGCTCTTCGACGCCGATGGGCCCTCGTGGCCCTGAGCACATTTGACGCTATTCGCGGGTAAGTCAAGCAGCGTTCATGCGTCATGACATGGGGCCTGACTATCATCAGAAGCAGCAGAAACAGCATCAGCCATCAGCATCAGCATCCTCCTCCTCCTCCTCCTGCTCCTTCTCCTCCTCCTCGTCCTCCTCCTCCTCCTGCAGCGTGGCCAAAGGGGGGGCGGTCCTCGGAGTCCTAGCGCAGCAACTGGTGCCGCACCGTGGGGGCGAGACCTCTTGCCTCGTGCAGCTCCAGCGGTCGACCGCCGAGACGTAAGGACTTTGCTCGAATCTCGTTGCAAAGGAAATAAGCACAGGCTGGAACTCTAAGAGAAGATCCTGCGGGCAACAAAATCCCGAACCTGTCCAAAGGGAACGGGGCGAGGGGGCCAGACAAAGCCTCCATAAGAGTTCCGAAGATGGGGCAATTGCAATAGTGTGCAAACGCGCCCTCGCCTCCGATCTCGGGAGGACACCCACAGAGACAAAACGAATTCACATATTGTTGAAACCTACGTTGGGTTAACCAGTTTTTCGAGAGCGTCCTAGCAGCCGCAGCCAAGAGGGCAACAGGCATGGAAGCAAGAGCAGCCTGCACAGCAGACCAGTCAACGATAAGGATACGAGCCCTTTCCTCGGGGAGCAAATTAATCAGGCGACGGGAAAACAGATCTCCAAGCGAGCTAGTGTACATACACGCAGACAGTTTTTGCACAGGCATGCGTTGGATTTTGGGGCGGGGCCTCTCACGGAACTTTGAAGATGTTGAACCAGCTGCAGACGGGCCTCCGAGAGGGCAGGGAGAATGTCGTTTCTCAGTCTATCTGGGAAATGGGCCCCGTGGTATGCATCAGACATGTGCTGGCACAGAGCTGGGGACTTCCACCACGACGGCGAGAACTCTCGCTGCAGAACCGACACAAATGGGCGGTGTCGAACAGCAGCACGGTGCAGCCAATCAAGAGACTGGCGCCACTCGAAAGTAGAGATAGCTGCACGAGCGCGAGCCGCCATACAAATAGCTGGAAGCGAACGAATCCTCGCCCCCCCCCCCCCCCCCCCATTCCTGCCACCGATACCAAGCCCCTTGCGAGAACCCACAGTAAGGCATAGGAATACTCTGGACAACATCGCAGCTTCACATCTGGCAAGCTCGGGCGGCGCAGGGATGAATTGGGCAATGTAGGACATCACCGAGGCGGCACGAGTGGAGTAGAGGTTCGCAGCAGTCGCGCTCGAGGCCCCGACATTGGAGAGCTCGAACGATCTGTGGCGCCATTTTCTGAGCGGGTTCCTCCAACAGTGCTGCTCCGCTCCTGGCCCTAGATACATTCCCAGATCTTTGATAACCTCGACGACTTCAAACGCAGCCCAGGACGGGACGAGAGCTCTGATCTTCAGAATGCACAGTTTTTCAATCGCTTCAGTGCTCGGGTCCGCGAGAGGGAGGATCTGACACTTGGAAATATCAAGGTACAGAGCAACAAGCTGGGCCGCCAGACCAAAGATACGGGACAGTTGCAAGAAGTACTGCAACTTGATGATGACGGTGCCTGTATCGTCGGCGCAGAGTCTAACTATCCCACGATGCTTTTGCTCAATCGTCGAATCGACATCAGCAACAGAAGGCTCCATACTGATCGCAAAAAGCGTTCCCGACCCAGGGCACCCTTGAATAATCCAGCTAGTATAGGAAACACAAAGGAAAGCATGCCCCCTAACTCAGAGTAGCAAACCACCCCCTGGTAGAGTAAGATGATAAGCACGCAGCGGAGGCGGAATACCAATCTCTTCTAGCACCAGCAGCATCCACCGATGAGATATCGATGGAAACGCCTGCGCGAAGTCGAAGGCGGCAACAAGCGGCAGGTCCGTGCCTGCAGAAGGAACCATCGAATAACACCTGGCCAGAGCGTCAAGTTCGACGATGTTGGTTCCAAATTGGCGACCCTGGATAAAGCCTCTTTGCAATGTATTGGCAACCGTCGACCATTCCTTTGAAAACGAGAACATGATAGCAGCCGTGATCAGCTTATTGTCGGCGCTTTTGAGGCCCAGGGGTCGAAGTTTGTCACATTCACGGACACATCCGCCTCCTTCGAGATCACCTTCCTCCTCCCCGTTCGGGATATAGACGCCCAGTAGGTGATTAAATCCCCAGAACGCACAACCACCTTCCAAGGGCCAGAACATCATCTCCGAGAGGGTCTCCAGAGCCTTGGGGGTCTTTTTCCAAGCGGCGTAAGGAATACAGTCAGGACCAGGGGCGCTGCGGGTCTGTCGACGTAAGACAGCAGACATCAAGCTCTTGGTCGGGGGCGGGATGTCGCTCAGGTCGATGTGACCTGTGAACCTCTGAATGTAGATCCGAGCCTTATGCTCAGGAGTATCTTTGGCGCTGAAGACCTTGCCCCAGTGCTCGCCAATCGGTGGAGCCATGTCCAGCGGGTCTGAAAGAAGTTGGTCATAGCGGCGAATACCGCGAACGTGCAGGCGACGGTCAAACGGTGCCCACAGCTTAGCTCGCTCCTGGAGTTGACGGAGACGTTGCCTGAGTTTTTTCTGCTCTGATTCTGGGGCAGCCGAGAGATTTGTCCCCGGTCTTTTAATCTCGCCCAGGTGATCATATTCCTCCAGAGCATTGATAAGGTCAGCGAAGGCCCCAGGATTAACCAAGGATCAAAGCTCCGTCTCCTCGCCAAACTTGAGGTGCTGTTGAGCAAGAGGGTACGCCTTGATGCGTTTCTGGCCCAAGGTACGGTCCTGACGCCAGACGGCCCTGGAAATCGAGCGGCATAGAATGAATCGACCCAAGGTCGAGTGCGAGGCCTGGCCCAAAGATGCGTTTCGAGCAAATCTGGCACCCTCTTTCATCAGCGTCTGAAGGTACAGCAAACGGATCGGCGGCGAGCACAGCTCAATGTCGCCGCACTGGAGATAAGCCTGTACAAACCCAGCGTATTATGGGGTGTCGAAGGTCTAGATTGACGGCACGCTCTTTGCGATGCTTCTGGCCACTCGGGTGGAAGTCAACCTTGATCGCTGCATGGTCTGACAACCGCTGGTGCATGACGACCTCGGCGAGACCCTGCGTCACCCCGCATACGTTAAACTGCCTGAGCGCCCACCCAGGGAGAGAGGCAAAGACCCTCTCTACGATGCTCATCGTGTCATTCGGCCTGCACACGTGGGCGGGGTCTTGCTGGTGCATTTAAACTCATTTCCCAAGAAGGCCCCTCCAGCTGGCGCCCTGAGTGGCCCTCCAAGTTTGGCACCCCTCACCAGGAGCAACAAAACTAGCTGGGTTGACTGGGGACGGCGGCGCAGCAGCGATGTTGAAGTCACCTATGACGACGACAATTGTGTTGAGCGGGTCCTCTTTAGCCCCCTGGAGCTCCCCAAGAACGTGCTCCGATATGCGGGTCTTCTCATGCCTCTGGAGCCCATAGTTATGGATATTATAGTGCGCAATCCAAGCCGAACCTCCGTCAATCTGGATATCCGTAAAAAAGAGCTCTACCCTGAACAAGCGGTAAGGAGTCCGAGACAACCTCTAGGTCCTCAAACTTGGGAATTGGTATCATGGCGAGAACCCCACCAGCGGCATTCGGCAAAAAAACGACATGCCAATTGTAAGGCTTGCGTAAAAAATGAATCATGTTCATGGCTTATTCTTCTTCTGCGCCATGAGTCTCTTGTACTGCTACAACACTCGTGGGAGACATGAGGGAGGAGAGGTAGTGGAACTTCTTGGACTTGGTGGAGGGGTCGAAGTGAAAGAGAGAGTTCGCATTCCAACTGGCAAAGCACAGGGAAGCGGTGGTGGTGCCAGAACCCAACCAAGGCTTCATGAACTTGCTAAATGGACCACTCGCCCTCGTCTGCCGAGGGAGGCTTGATACACTGTGCGACTCGCGGAGCAAGAATATTTTTGTCCAAGCCGAGCGCCGCGATATTGGGGATGTTCCACTCCACAGAGGGCGCTGTTCCCGTCGGCGCGGGTGTAAAACGCAAGAGCTTCTTCCATGCCAGTGAAATCGCACCTCGACCCTTGTCAACACAGAAACGTTTGTTGGGATAGGCGGACTCGAATTCCCTTCTGATAAGTTTGATCCCAAGCTCCCTGCGGATTGTCGCCTGGCTTTTGTCCACGCTAATGAACAGGTCAGTCTGGCCGCCAGTGGGGAGCTCAGCATAGAAGCGCCTCCACGTGTTGTTCCTCTGCTTGATGGCCGGCATGGCTTGCCGTACTGCACGTGCAGCAAGATGAGTTTGTCCTGTGAACTGAATAATGAACCGTTTAGCCGTGGGGCCTTCGTCGGGGGGCTTGACCTCGTAGCCATCCACGTCCAAGGCTGCGTCCTGCATCCAGTCACGGATGCCCTTGCATACTGCCTGATGGGAGACCAACTCACGCGAGCGAGCCACCAATATGGACGGGTCCGTCGGGCGATCGAAGCTGGCTGGGAGCTCCACAGTCGGGGGGGGGCTGCTTCTGGAGGTGTTTGATCTGCTGCTCCATGTAGTTGATACGCGTATCATGTGAATCCACTCGAGCTTCCATTTTGTGCATTCTGGCCTCCACTTGACGATCGATGCCTTCAGCGTGCGATGCACATGTTCTGGAGAGAGCCGTGACACTTGTTTGGATCGATGCGATGGCTGCCATGACCTCGGACTTCGTGGCGTAGACATGAGCTCGAAGGTCGAGCTCTCCTCTGTGTTGCTGACCACCTTGCCGACGACCAGGACTGCCAGTGCCACCACTGCTACTGCCACCAGGGATGGGCGGAGGTTCTTCCAAGGCTTCCTGGAAGTGTTCGTCATCGGGGTAGCCTCCACCGTGCGCCAGCGGCGCAGAGCGAGATCGATCACGTGCTCCTTCAGGGTGCGCATCGTGAGGAGGAGCTGAAACTGCCATGCCGCGCCGCCACAGAATCTGTGATGGCTCCCGAGAAGTGTAACAATTCCAGCAAAGCAGAAACAGAGAGACGAGGGTGCAGCCAGCGCCTGACACGCTGGATCGCTCGAAACAGAGCTGCCCGCCCAAAATGGGACCTGATCCACCTTGAGCCAAAATGGCAACGGACCGCCTCCTCCTCCTCCTCCTCCTCCTCCTCCCTCCTCCTCCTCCTCCTCCTCCTCCTCCTCCTCCTCCTCCTCCTCCTCCTCCTCCTCCTCCTCCTCCTCCTCCTCCCCCTCCTCCTCCTCCTCCTCCTCCTCCTCCTCCTCCTCCTCCGCCTCATCACCATCATCATCAGCATCAGCATCATCACCACCATTATCATCGTCATCATCACCATCATCATCATCATCATCATCATCATCATCATCATCATCATCATCATCATCATCATCATCATCATCATCATCATCATCATCATCATCAGCATCAGCATCATCATCATCAGCAGCAGCAGCAGCAGCATCATAAGCATCATCATCACCACAATTATCATCGTCGTCATCATCACCATCATCATCATCATCATCATCACTTTCATCATCAGCAGCAGCAGCATCATCATCCACATCAATATCAGCATCATCATCATCATCCTCATCATCATCATCATCATTACCAACGCCAACATCAACATACTCATCATCATCATCATCAGTATCATCATCATCAGCATCAGCATAATCATCATCATCATCAGCAGCATCATCATTAGTATCATCGGCATCATCACCATCATCATCATCATCATCATCATCAGTATCAGCATCATCATCATCATCATCATCATCAGCATCATCATCATATCAATCATCACCATCGTCATCATCAACATCAACAGCAGCAGAAGTCGCAGCAGCACCACCGGCATCGCGGTCAGCAGCAGCAGCATCATCACCATCACCATCACCATCACCATCATCATCATTATCAACATCATCATCAGCATCATCATCAGCATCATCATTACCACCACCACCACCATCATCATCAGAATCGCCACTACCATCACCACGACCATCAAAATGAGCATCATCACCACCATTATCATCCTCGTCACCATCACCATCATCAGCATCGTCATCATCATCATCGTCGTCATCATCACCATCACCATCACCATCACCATCATCAGTAACATCATCACCACCACCACCACCATCGTCGTCACTATCATCATCGTCATCATCAGCATCAGCATCATCACCATCATCATCGGCATCATCATCAGCAGTATCCTCATCCGCATCATCATCAGCATCATCCTCATCAGCAACAGCATCGTCAGCAACATCATCACCGTCGTCGTCGTCAGAACATCATCCGCAGAATCTCATCAGCATCATCATCAGCATTATCATTATCGTTCTCATCATCACCATCATCTGCATGATCATTACCGACATCGTCATCGCCACCGTCATTATCAACAACCTTATCATCATCGTCGTCGCCGCCGCCATCATCACCACCATCATTATCTCCACCACCACCACCACCACCACAATCATCGTCAGAATCATCATCGTCGTCGTCATCGCTACCCTCGTCCTCCTTGTACTGCTCCTCCTCTCGTCTTCCCACTGCCCGAGGACGCTCCTCGGGTTGTCGCCAGAATACTCGCAAATGTCCCAGGTGATTCCCGAGCGTAGCCCGTCGGACTCGAGGTAGCCTCCACGCACGAGGAGGGAGAAGAAGCCGACGAGGAGCAGCGAGGGAGAGAAAGAGAAGAAGGAGGACGAGGACGACAACGATGACGACAGCCAGCGACGACGACGACGACGAGGAAGAGGACGAGGACGAGGACAAGGACGAGGACAAAGCCTTAGCAGCAGGCGGGCGCCGACGTCAAGGATGAGGACGAAGACGAGCAAGGAGGAAGGAGGAAGGAGGATCAATCAGGGAGGAGGGGACCGAGAAAGCAGCGAGGGGACGCAGCGCACACACACACACACACACACACACACACACATACATGTTTAAGTCGGTGGCGCAGAGGGACCTCAGGCGAGGTCGGCAGGTGAATGTGCCAATTGCGAACGAACTTGGTCGAACTCGCCATCATGACAGAGTTCAGTCACGGCCAGACAGATTGGTGGTGAAGAACGGGAGACGCTGTAATGCCAAAGTGCAGCAGCCAAAAAAAACGAAGAACATACGTAAGCACGACGCGGGTATTTGAAGCGCAAGCAGCAGTCTGGTGCTAATCCCACCAGCCCTCTGGGTGTAGGTGGTCCAGGGAGGCTCCTCTTCCAACCCCCTTCTTCCCCTTCGGGGAGTGGTTTACCCCTCCCTCTACCCCCTCGCCTGGACCTAGACGGGGCGCCCCGCGAGCGGTCAGAGCATCTAAGACGGCCCAAAACGGCTCCAAGAGGGCCTCAGAGAGCCCAAGATAACTTCCAAGACGGCCCAAGATAGCCCAACATGGCTCAGTGTGGTTCCCAAGATGCTCCAAGAAACCCCAAGACCGCTCCAAGACGGCTCCAAGTGGCCACGGAGCCTCCCCCGGAGGCCGCCAAGTGGCCAAAATCCTTCACGAAGATGAGGAAAATCAATGAATGTCGCTCTCTCGCCTTTTCGCTTCAGGAGCGCTCCAAGAGGGGTCCAAGAGGCGATTTGCGGGGCTGGCGGCGTCCGATGCCCATCGGGACGGTGCGTGTCGAAGCTGCTACGCGCGCCAGGCCTCGGGCGTTCGCGAGACCGCGTCTGCCTTTCGAGGCCGCGGTGGCGGCGGTGGGACGGGAAGTGCGTCGTGCGCGCTTCCCTTGGCGGCGCGCACAAGGGGCTAGGTGGAGGGGGGAAGGCTTCGGAAAAGGGGCTGCCTCTTGGAGGGCGCCGGCCCTGCGTCTACAGACAAGGCCCGCGCCTTCCGAGAAGCAGCCTGCTTCTGTGAAGCCTTCCCGCCTCCCCCTACAGGGCAGTTTTGAATACATTGGATTGTTTTTAAACATGGGATTTTTAGTACCTGATTCATTTATGAATAAAATTATGCATGAACTCATCGTTGCTTTTAATACTAAATCCCTGCGCGTGGCTGATTATTGGCGGACGGACCCTGTCATACGCGACGACAAATGCACACCTCGTCTGGCGAGTGGCCAGCGGACGCCGCCCGGCGCCCGCTGGCGGCAGCGAGCTTGGGGCGTGGGGCGGCGCCGATGGGGGCGAGAAACCGCGCGGCCTCGGCAGGCGGTGCAGCCGCGACGCGGTCGGCCTACTCGACCCCCTTCGCGGCTGGGGCAGGCGACTCAGCCATGGGTCAGGCATGTCCCCCTACAGGGGGTTTTGGACGAAGAACTAAAAATACCCCAGAAATGCTGAGAAAGAACACTCAAAATACTAATAAAAAAAAAAAAAAAAATGTCCCCAGACTATTTTTGACTATTTCTGAATATTCTCCTGTAGAAGGACAGACCCGACTTAAACTTAGCCGCATGACTGGGTGGGACTTCGGCACGGACCCCGCTCGATGCCTGAGAGGACGGATCGGACGGCGCTGCGCCCCACAGGCGGCTCCAGGTGCCGGGCTTGGGTTGGGAACCGCACCAGCCGCCGAGCGAGGTCGCGCCGCTCGGCAGCGGGGAGCGTGCGCCTGCCGTTGAGCTCTCTGGATTCCCAGCCAGCCACAACAGCGGCAGCGTATTCATAGAGGCCTCCTAGATGGGGTCCGAATAGATGGCGTCGGAGGAACGCGCCGCATCGCCAACACATCGGCGATGCATCACCGATGCATCGGCGATGCATCGCTGACGTCGGCGGTGCATCGGCGACGCCAGCACGGGGAAACACGGTCTCCGCATCGAGCCGCATCGCCGATGCATCGGCGATGCGGCGCGATCCTCCGACCCCATTTACTTGGACCCCATCTAGGAGGCCTAGAATTCAGGGTGGTTGAAGCTGGGGTCGGCAAGGAAGGAGAGTCCCTGGGTGCCGATCGCGATGCCCAAGAATTCCAGCCAAATGTCGGGCTTCCCGGCAGCCTTTCGAATGTCTGCCACCTTCCGAAGCGCCTCGGAGTACACTTTTGGGCGGTCGCGGCCTCGCGCGCAGCGTCGCGGCGAGAAAGGTCAGATCCTGTGCGCGCGCGGTCGGTCGGCCCCTCAAGGGAATCTCCGAAGATTCTGGGCACGCCATTAGCAGCAAACCATCCGGGCGTGGATGGCAAGGAGGAGACACGCTGACCCAACGAGGACGCAGCGCGAAAGCGTGGAGAGAAGCACAACCATGCGGGCCTGGATGGCAAGGAGAATACGCGCCATTGAACAACGGAAATCAGCGGAGACGTGGCGCGGGTCGGGGACAGGAGATACGTCGAACGGACAATGACGATACGGACGACGAGTGAACCACACTGCAACCGAGAGGTGACGGGCAGGCGCAGCAACTCACACACACACACACACACACACACACACACACACGCCCACACACACACACACATCGGAAGTTAATCGTGCCACGCGGCGAACCAAGCTCTGGGAAATCTCAGGCCAAGTTCCACCTATCCACCAAGGAAAGAAACCCCGATCGATGGTCAGGTCTCCAACGGTAGGCTTACCACCGCGGGAGCGTTGCCATTGGATTTCAGCGGTGGCGGTGGTCAGGTGCGTCTGGAGGATACCTCCCCTCATTTTGCTCGAAAGGCAACAGGGGGTACTGGTGGAAACGGGACCTGGACACTGGGGCTTTCCCTGGACCAGGCTTCCATCCTGAGTCGTGTCTCACGGCTCCGGAGCCTCGGGGGGGCCCCGAGAGCCAGGAAGCAACGAACAGATCCAGAACCCCACTTCCTCCTGGGCCCAGCTTTCGTGACGCTGACACCCCCCCCTCTCCCCAGGCTCCTGGCGGATGGATCTGTTTCAATCCGACCTTCGGCCAGTTCCCTGAAACTGGCCTTAGGTCGGGCCCGTCCCCCTACAGGGGGATTTTGGAGGGAAAATCCAAAACAGTCCAAAAATGCACAAAAAAATCCCACTAAATATCAAAAATCGCCCCCAGTTTTTTTTTGAACTATTTCTGAATGTTCCCCCTGTAGACCCCGAGCAGGTTTTCCACGGTCCTGACTGGAGACCAGGAGAAGTCCCTGAGTGCATGCACACAGGCTCCACTTGCTCGAGTCTCTGGAGGTCCAGGTACCCCCACCCCCTGACTGGAGACCCGGAGAGGCCTCCAGAGTGCGAGAATGCAGAAACACGCAGGCCCCACTTGCTCGAGCCTCTGGAGGTCCAGGTCCCCCCCCCTCCGTGCGCGGGGCGGCGGCGGCGGGGGCCGTGGGCCCGCCTTGGAACGGTACGAGGAGGCTGCTGGGCAGCAGGACGCGCGGCGAGCAGAAGTCGCTGCCGGAGCCGCAGATCTTCTCGAACCTGGGCGGCGGCGGCCCGCTCGGCGCCTCCCGCATGCTGCCCGCCAGGCGAGCAAAAACATAGATATATACATATATATATACACAAACATATATATATATAATATATATATATATATACATGTGTGTATATATGTGTGTATCCCCAGATTTACTGGGTTTTCGCCTTCCCCCCCACTTCGCATATTTTTTCACATGTTCCTGGGAACCTGGGCGGCGGCGGCAGGCTCGCCGCCTCCCGCGGGCTGCCCGCCAGGCGAGCAAAGACGGCATCGAGGACATCGCCGCGGGGAACCCGTCGCAGTGCTACTGGTGATGAGAGGGGCCCTGGGACACGCACACAAGTAGACACAAAACACAGGATTCCCCCTATTCTCCTCCACATTTCCTGGGTGTTCGTCTTCCCCCCCACTTCCCATACCTTCCCATATTTTCCTGAGAATCCACAATGAATTGTGTCTGTGTGTTTTTGTCCCCTCCTGAATGGCATCGCCGCGGGGGGCAAAGACGAAAGAGTAACACGCTGGCGGGTGCCCAATGGCGGCGTATCATCGATGCTCTTTGTTTCCCTCCCGGCTCTCTCGTTATCCAGAAGAACTCCTGGCGTAGAGCACGCTGATCATGCCTCAAGTCGACGAGCGCGTTCAACTACTCGCAAAGAGGCTACTCGCAAATGGCCTGGATCCGCCGCGGGGGGTCTACGATAAATTACATCGAAGCAGGCATGTGCGTTTTCGGGCGTTTGCGAGTAGTGGAACGCGCTCGGCGATCAAGGCAGGCGCCGAAGCGCACAACTGGCAGTCTTCTGGGACAGAGGACAACATCCAGCTGCTCCCCCTCCCGCGAATGATTCGGCATGTGCTTACATGGTGCTACATCTGCCTCCGCCCTTCCCTTCAGCCCAGCTGTGTTCCCTGCCCGACGTCCGCTGCAGCCATATCCTGCTCGGGCTGGCTTACCCCCGTTCCTCCAGACTCCTAACCAAGAACCTACCAGTAGCATCCTCTACCCTTCCTTTTTCCACACGTTCATAGCGAGCGCCTGATTCCGTTGCGTGCTGTACAAGTGGGAGTTAGGCATACTGCGCGGAGCACGTGATACCGCATCATCACGATCAATGGCGTTCACAGTGGTAGCGGAGCCGGTGAGATCCACCAGCTCTCAGGAATGCCATGCCAGGCGAGGACGGCGTCGAAGGTGAGGAGGGTACACAGACCTTCGGCAAGGACAAGGAACCACCGCCCAGGTACGATGGCGTCAAGCGAGAGAATACGTACCAGGTGTGGAAGAAGGAGCTCGAGCTGTGGGTCACGACCACGGACATTCCCAAGGCGAAGTGGGGTGTAAAGCTGACGCGCAGGTTGACCGGCAGCGCGAAGGAGGCCATCGCGGACATGGAAGTTGAGGAGGTCACGTCCGAGGACGGGCTAGGCAATATCATCCAGACCCGGACGAGGCGTTCGCGCCGTACCTGGAGAAGACTATGCCCCGGGGGTTTGAGAAGGCTGTGTACAAGTCCTACCGCGAGAAGGGCCAGTCGATGTTAGAGTATACACTGGCGGCGGCTTGCAGGTTCAATGAGTTGAAGCGAATGGGCGCGCTGCTACCAGCTGAGGCGCGCGGCTGCATCATGATGCGGCACGCGAAGCTCGGAGATAAGGGCGAGGACGTGATCAAGGCCTGGACCACCGGGAGCTTCAAGGAGGAAGAGGTGATCAAAGCACTTCGACGACTGACAAGGGAGACCGCCAGTTCTTCGGCAACGACGGGAACCCTGAGCAAAATGAGGCCGAGAACTTCCCGACGACGGAGGACAGCGATGGGCAGGACGATGAGGAGCACATCTCTGTCTTCGAAGATGACCTGTGGGAGGTGCACGAAGAAGCCGACGTCACTACGGCGCAGGCGTCCTACCAAGTGGCACGTGAGTCGCTACGCCAGGAGAAAAAAATCCGCGGCTTCCACAAGGACGGCAAGAGCGTCGGGGAAGACAAGGGCGGCGGCTACCCGTCTCCTGCTGCGCTCCTGCGCCAGTGGCCCGGTTCGGCAACAGCGCGAGGTACAAGGACGGACAGGGTAGGAAGGTCAGGGTGCACATCGACGTGATCAGACTGCGCACCAAGTGCGCGCGCTGCGGACAAGCGGGCCACTGGGCGAAGGAGTGCTCCAACCCGCCGGACGCTCGCGGGGCCGCTGTCGCAGGAAAGCACAAGACTGGCTTCTTCGCGGGTGCGATGGCACGCAGGGAGATCAGCCTGGCCAGCGAAGGAGTGTTTCTCGAGTGCGAGTCGGAGTACATGCATCACATCGATCCTCATCGAGACTGTGGAGCCTCAAGGGAGCCTTGTCAGGTCCATCATCTGGGACGTCTCGGAGGCTGGCAGGCGCTGATTTGCGTGCTGGGAGTTCCTGGGAGTATAGAGCGGGAGTTGACCTTGAGTGCTTGTCGAGGGTTCAAGAGAAGCTGGAACGAGGTCCTCAGCGGGATCTCAATTCTGTGGAAAGACGCGAAGCTGAAGGTGGGGAATCCGAGCCGTGGTGTGGGCTATCTTTTAAGGATGGAGAGGCTCAGGTGGACACTGCAGCCCAATCGGGCCTGATTGGGACGGAAGCTCTTCAACAACTCGCCAGTGCACTACGTGAACGGGGACTCAAATTCAAGTGGGTAAACAAGGAAGCCCGAGCCCAAGGAATAGAGGGAAAAGCACGCACGGTAGGAGTTGTCGTTACGCAGTTTGGGATCGGAGGTGCCCGGCTTCTGGAGCTCACCGTTGCAGAGGGCTGCGTTCCAATGCTGCTGCCAGTGAAGACCCTTAGGAAGTTGAAGGCACTTGTGGAACTCGACGCGATGAAGCTGATCCTGAGACGAGCGGGCTTTGAGTCCCAATGAGAGGGGTTCACCACGGGAACGTGGCAGTCGCAGTGCTTGAATCCAGGACCGAGAGATGGAATGTTCCAGCAGGGGCTCACGAGTATCGCGGTGAAGATTTCCGGCGCGATAGCCACTTGAGTCAAGGCAGCAAGGATTCAGCCGCAGGGGCTAGTCATGCTTTCAGCAATTCCGTATCTGACTGAAAAGCAGATCGCTCTCCATCGAGCCCACACCCCGGTGCGCCAGGGATGGGTCCGTCTCGCTGCCAGCTTGGTGCCCTTGGCGTCTGCGCGACCGCTTGCGGGCATCTTCTGCAGCATACATTGGGGAATACGCTACGGGTGGAACGGCAGAGAAAACGAGGAGGAGGTGCTGGGCCTCATGAGTCGGCTGACGGGGACGGCGGCAGGGTCCAAGCAGCAGCCGGCGGCTCTGAGTCGGGGGAGGCCAGCGTACTAACCCAAGTGGCAGAAGGTCAATTGCCTGTGCACGGACGCCGCGGAGAGCGCGAAGGGCAAGTTCAAGGTGGTTCAGAAGTGCGTGGTGACGGACGACAAGCAGGGGAACTACAGGAAGTTCTACCACCGGTGCGAGATGAATGTGTGCAAATTTTACCAGTGGGAGATTATTCCAACCTTTCGTCGGTACTGGCAGTGGCTTCTGGCACATGAGCTCAAGAGGACGACGGGCCAGTTCGAGAAGAAGGCGGACAAGTACTGGTCGGGAACTGAAGGGCACGGGGGGAGTCTAGGCAGCGATACCGCGCACGCAATGCGGGGGCCGCTGGGAAAAGGGTCCACGAGCCCACATGATTCTGTCGAAGGAGAAGGCGCAGGCACTGCACAGACTGACGACCGAGACGATTGAGGAGGTCTTCGGGGAGCTCAATCCCAAGCAGAATCGGCCCAGGGATCAGAAGGTGCGGACGCCGGCAGCGAGCTCGTCTCAAGGGGGAGCTACCCGAACGGAAGAAGATGGTACGCAGGCGGGCCGAAGACACGATGGAGCACGAAGACTGCGGCTGGTGGCCAGGGGAGGACGAGCCGTGAAGATTCCCACCCCGGACGCCGGGAGACTGAAGGTGTGGAGCCACTTCGGCCAATCCAATTGAGAGGACTTCCCCGGAGACGGAGCGGTCATGATCAACGCGGAACGGCAGCTGGCGTCAGCCAAGAAGCTTCAGCACGACCGGGCCGTCACCATTGGCTCTCGGTGGTGGAAGTTGCAGGGCCAGGACTTCGTGGAGCAGGACGGGGTCATCCCGAATTCGTTGGATGGCAAAGTGATCCTGTTGAACTGGGAGCTGGAGGACAATTACACGTTCTTGGACGAGGAAAAGCAGGACGTGCCACAAACGCAGCGCGCGCCTTGTAACGACCGCCCCTGCGAGGCCGTCAGCACCCCATCGTTGGGCGCGGCGCCCCCAAGGGGCGGGCCGCGCGCGTGGGCCTGCGCAATCGCCGCCCACGGCGCGGCGCCCACCCCCTGGCAGGGCCACCTGGGTGCCGACTACCCCCTGGGGCGGTTGAGGGTGGGAGAAAATGCCGCACCCCCCGCTGCCAGCTCCGATGGCTAGCAGGAAAGAATGATCACCTGCGCGCCGCGCTCGCCGCGCGCGCGAAGCCGAACCGCCGCGACGCGACGCGGGATCGCAGCGGCGGCCAGAACAACGAACACAAACAGTGCCGGCAGCGCCGCGCGGCGCGGCGCGCGGCCCCCTCCACCTCACGCAGGCCGCTCCTGCGCGGCGTCGCGCTCGTCGGCGAGCACGGCCGCCGACACCCCCGCGCTCCCGTTCGCTGGCGCGCGCTGGTGCTTACCAAGCAAACGAGTTTGCGGGCCGACCACAAACGCAGGGTCGCGTCCTGGGGACTCTGGGTGCCTGCCCGCACATGCGGGCGGGCAGGTGCCCTGATCCACCACTCCTCGAGATCCCAGGGCACGACTCCAAAGCGGGGGATGCGGACATATGGCGGGATCACCTCGTCGCGGCGCTCATCAACCAGATGAGCACCATCAGCTGCACCGGCGGCGCAGGACCCAACACCAACACCTCCGGCATCCTCGACTCTGCCGTCCTCCAAGCTCAGGAGAGCGCCAAAGCACGTCGGGCCAATCACCACGGAAAC